GACCAAAGATAAGGTCTTATGTGCGGTCTCGTAGCTTGACTCGGAGTATGAGTCCAATATGGGCGCCGTCTTCATGTTGTTGAAGAGGTTCATGCTCGTCGCCGTGGTCGAAGGGGATGGTCCTAGATCGACCTTCTTGTCACCGCCTTGTTGTTGGAGGCCCATATGATGTGGCACCTCGTAGCTCGTCTCTATGACCGAAGGGAATTTCCCATGCTCGGCCATTTTCCTTGAGGGGCTTCCGAAGATGGAAGTGTCGCCCTCGCTCGTAGGTGGTCGCCTTGTACTTGATGACGTCGATGTAGGCGAACTCACGGGAAGTAGGCGAAAATGCCGTACGTCCAAAGGCGAAGATGCCTTGATAGCACTTGGCGAAGATGCCAAAGTGGTGGTGGTAGTAGCCGTAGCGCCATCTTGGTGGTGCTCGTCTCGCGGTCTTCTCTTGTGCTCATGAAGCGTGGACTTGGCGTGAAGTAGGGCTTGTTGGGACTTGTGCATTTGCGCTTGGCGAGCATCTTCATGATGATGGTGTCGTTGTCGCGCTTGAGCTCGACGGGGCTCGTTGTCGTCGTGCACATGATGTTTGGAGGTGACTTGCCCTTCATGACAATGTGGATCACGAACGTGATGGTGGTCGCCATGGAGATGTGGATGTGGACGACTTGCGCTTGCATCATTTTTGCGCTCCGAAGACTTGTGACTTGAACGTCGCCGCCTTGAGGATGATGAAGGGGAAGAACGGTTGATCAACAAGGTCCGAATCTCCTCCATCCTTGCATCTTGCTCCTTCTTTTGTGCGGAAAGCTTGTTGTCGATGTAGTCCCTTTTCCTTGCTTCGGAGTGGCGAATGTCAATGGAGAGGTTCTCGATGCGCTCTCGCAATCTTGATTGTGCGCCTTGCATTTGTCGTTGTAGATCGAGGATTGACGCTTTGGTGATGTAGTTGTTCACGCCGTCGTTGTTGTGGGAGACCGGAGATGAAATGCCTTGCCTATCCATCACTCCAAGATAAAAATGTGAGTGGTAGAAAGAGAAGAACGAATACCAAATGTACCTTGACCGAAGTTGAAAGTGGATCAATGACCACTCCAATGTGGACAAGGAAATAGCACAATTGGTACCAATTCTTGTTGGTTTCTCACACCTACACAAATAAGGCTTATGGTGGAGCTCGGTGAGGATAGTGGCACAAAAATTTAATGCAAAATGTTAGCAAGAGTCAATAATGTTGAAAGAGATTCACAAATTCGCAAGTGTAACAAGTAGACCAATAGCAATGAATAGCACACGGAAACACACACACGGATAGATAAATGGGGTCGTGCAACCAAGGAATGAGCACAAAATGTGGAATCCACGGAAAACGCTCGTGTTGCACAACTCAAGAGAGACGCTAGCACGATTGCTCTATAGGCGGATAAGACACTTGTGCACAACCTATAAGATGCAAAATGTATCGACTTTCTATCCCAAGTATGCTATATATGTATGATGTTCCGGTGGTATGATCCAAGATGATCGGATATGACAATCTTATATGCAACGTGATATGATGCTATGGCACTTGCTTACAAGCTTCTTTGCTTTTTCTCTTTTGCTTAAAAGCTTTATTCTCTTTTTTTTGTATGGCCACTTTGCGAAATGCACAAACCAAGATAGCAATTGTGTATATGTGGGAACAAACTTGAGGCACACGAGATGATATGATACCGGTATGGTATGGTATGTATGCAATGTATGGTGTAGATCACTAATGTGCACAAGTAACGTTGCCGACAATACTCAAATGGCTAGTCTCGATAGGCAAGTAACGCAAAATGGGCTAGGGGTTATCAATGCAATGGCAAGGAAATGTACAATGGAGGGATACCACGATACCAAGATGATATGGAGGTTACCGTCCGTGTCGATGATGAGTGGCGGTGATCTTGATGGAGATACCAAGATGATGGGGACTCGTCCCTAAGTAGCCGAAACACCTTAGGAAATGGAAAAACCGTGAACTCAAAATCTCAAATGTCAAATGGTGGTAGCGGGAATGCGGTGGTGGTTGCGGAAGCTCAATGGGATTGCGGAAATGCAATGATGGGTTTTGCAAGTAGGCAAAGCGGAAGTGGAGGGTAAGGTGGTGTACTATACACGGTGTCGGAGTTGAAAGCACGGTCTCTAAATAGCCAAAACACCTTAGTAGACACAACTCACAACACTAACAAAATTGGGTTAAGTTGGGGTGGTGGAAGTGTATGGTGGACAAGCCTATGCGGAAGTTATGGTGGTGGTGGTGGTTGATGAAGAAGCAATCGTCCCTAAGTAGCCTAAACACCTTAGGAGACTCAAATCACTCCTCAAGCAACCACTAATGCGATGGGGAACAAAATTGGTTAGGTTGCGGAAGTCGGTGGTGGTTATGCGGAGGTTGTGGTGGAAGCCCGAGGCAAAGATGCCAAAGTTCCAAAAATTTGATGGAGTCAAATGGTTATGGTAGTATTTTTTTTGGAAGGGGGATGTCAAGAGCTTTTCAACGAGCTAAAGAACGCGAAAATCGGACTCCGGATGAATTAGTTATGGACAAAACGGTGAAACGAGAAAGCTGAAATGTACAGGGGCGGACATGCGGGGCTCGGGCCGGATTTCCGGGGGCGTATGTCCAGAACCGTGTGGATTTTGCATTCTAGGAGCCGGATGTCCGGCCAGGGACCCGGATGTCCGGCCCGACGAATCCAGATCTCGTTTGGGGCGGAAATTTTCGAATTGGGGGTGGAAATTGATGATTCCAAGGGCAAAAAAATTGGGGGCTATTTTTGTGGGGATTTTCGAATTTAGGACGAAATCAAGCAAAAGAAGGCTAGAAAAAGAGGGATGGGGGCTCCAAATTCGTGATCAACCTTGCTCTGATACCAAGATGATGTAGGATAGAATCCTAATCGCCCGATCTTTCACGAAAGGAGCGGATCCCGCGAAGAACACGAGGAACACAAAGAGGGAAACGAGGGAAAACGAGGAAAAACACAAGGGGGAACACAAGAGGAACACTCAAACTAACAAGAACAAGTCACACATGTGCTAGATCCTCGGATACATAGAACGATACACGAATCCACGGACAACTAAGGACGATACAAGGGTAGCCGGTCTTCTCCGTGAGGAGGTCTTGAATCCAGAGGGATCTTCTTCGAAGAGGCCGCGGTCTCTCACGAGGAGTAGATCCGATGTGGATGAGCGAAGCTCTATCTCTAAGTATGAGCTAAACCAACGCTAACCCTAACTAGAAGGAGGTGGGGGAGTATATATAGTCTAAGCCACGAAGGGGTAAGTGGGAAAGAGGGATACATGGGCCCTTGGCCCGTTCACTATGCGCAGACAGGCGCCGGATGTCCGGGCTGGGGGCCGGATGTCCGGGGCTTCGTGACGGGCCGGATGTCCGGGCTGGGAGGCCGGATGTCCGGGCTGGCCTGGGTCTTCCAGACGCATTCGGTGATGGAGGGGCCGGATTTCCGGGCGAAGGAGCCGGAAGTCCGAGGCTTCGGGAGGAGCCGGATGTCCGGGGTGATGGCCGGATGTCCGGGCGGCGCTGGACCTTTGCGGTGCTCCCTGGATGGCCGATGCCGGATTTCCGGGGCTGGGGCCGGATGTTCGGCCGCTGTAGCAGCTGGCCCTTCTTCCTTCTCCTTCCTTCACTTCCGTGCACGTTTGGCCTTGGTCCTTGGGCTCTCCATGGTCTCCTCGGGTGTATCTGAGTATGCACAAGGTCCGCGCTTGAAGTTGCATCCATGTCTTACATGCGGAAAGAGAAGATTCAGAAAGGAGCGAGTTCACCTTGTGTCCAATGGCGTATGTTCGAGTGTACATGGAGATGATCGTAGGATGCTCCGCATCAATCCACCCCTATTCAGAAGTTTTGCAAGGCCAAAGTCGGTGATCTTTGGCTCCAGGTTCTCATCCAACAGTATGTTCTCAGGCTTCAGGTCGCAGTGGATAACCCATTCCAGGCACTCATGATGAAGATAAGCCAATCCTTTTGCCACCCCTAGAGCAATCTTAAATCTTTCATTCCATTTAAGTAATACCTGTGAGCCCTTCCTACTAAACAGAGTTTTATCCAAGGAACCATTCTCAATATACTCTAAAACCAATATCTTGTGTGGACCGTCAGAACAGAATCCCCAAACCCACACCAGATTCATATGGTAAATCTTTCCAATCACACTCAGTTCATGTTGGAACTCTTCTTCGTCTTGGTTTATGTCTGCCAACCTTTTCACCGCTACTGCCCTCTTGTCCTTCAAGACCCCCCTGTACACAAGACCTGATGCCCCCCTCCCAATCTGATACTTGAACTTCTGAGTTGCTACCGATCTCATCTAAATGGTAAGCTACTTTTGGATATGGATATGTACATTAGTGAAGCACATCAGACTTCAACATCACAATAGGATTTGCAGCATCAATATTCATTAGGACCGTAACACGAGCTTTGTAGTTTTGTGTGCATTGCTAGTTTTTTAGCAACCCCATCGATATATATATATGCTGTCGGTCAGTACCAGTAGTAGGAACACCAAAGAGTACAAGGTATTATAGTTGAAGAATAATCTCTGCATTTATCTTGATTGACTGCACTATATTATGGAAGGTACGCAAATTCAATTTCAACCTTAGAGGGTCATGAATTTGTACTTATGTAAGAAAATAGTACACATAGCCTGAGCAGAGCACTAGATGCACGATCTAACAGGGGAGAACACAGACCAAATAAGAAGATTAGATGTCTAACCAGTGCTCGTACCTTGCGTCTCCGCTGCCATCTACTCCATCCGTTCACAAATATAAGATGTTTTGCATATTTCAATATGGATTACATACGGACTGAAATGAGTGAACAAATACACTAAAATGTGTCTATATACATCCGATTCACAAAAAAGTTTGAACGTCTTATATTTGTTAACACAGGGAGTATTAATTAGGTGTAGTGCAGGCAGACATCCATGTCCTCGCCGTTAAGTTTCCTCTGCTGCTCTTGAAGCCCCGGCGCCAACGGGGTAGAGATGTTGTGCATCCAGCCACAGCTGCTGCAAACGCAATCCCTCAACAAACTTTAGGTTCAAGTTTGGAGAACCTGTCACACGGAGCTCTCTCAGTTTAGTAAGGTTTGAAACCCTCTCCAGGACTTGGCATCCAGCGATCACAAGCATCTCAGAGAGGAACGGGAAGTCCTCCAAAACCTTCAAGCAGCTTGCTCCTTTTAAATAGAGGGATTTCAAGCTGGTTGCCTCCTGTCCAAGCTGTTGCGGGAGAGCTCTCAGCTTGGGGCAGCCTTCAAGTATCAGCAATTTTAAGCATGGCAGCATCTGCATCTTTGGAGACAAGGCTCCCCCCTTTCGCATCTCAACATATCCATCCTCTTCCCCTTCTTCAACAAAGGACCATTCCTCCCAGCTGGGCATATCCTGAATTCTCAATGTTTCAAGCTTGGGGAAAGCAACAACTGCATCCGTGGATGTGGGATTAGCCCCCCTGCAGCTAACAAATTCGGGTCCAATCTTTGTAACTGCTGCTGCTCCATGAATTTTCAGATATCTCAAGCTGGGCAGCTGCCCGATTGATGGAAGATGTACACATGAATTGCAATCTCTGAGTGTCAAGTATACAAGTGACGACACATGGGTGGTACCAAGCCATGTGGGATACCGCCGGCCAAAGAATCCATCAATGACTAGATATTCTAGGTTGTGTGAAGGGCTTAGCTGCTCAAAGACCTTCTCAATATTTTCAACATCTTCTGTATCTGGTTCATATGTAACTCTGCAATATAGTCTCAAACGTTTGAGGTATTTCTTGTCTGCTAGCAATGAATGTCTAGTACGAGGAGTTGCTCTTTCCAAGTTAATCATAGCAAGCTGCCTTAGCTGTGAGAGATGTTCCAACTCTTCCAACTTCCATCCATCTTGTGTTTTTCCATTGTCACTTCCACCACTAATAGGAAATCCTCCTAAATCATTGAGGAACTCTAATCTGCCAATACCTTTTGGAACCTGATTTATTGGAGTACTAGTCAGACCAAGGCGCCTTAGATTGCACAATTCAGTGATCGCCAAAGGAAGACTGTGCAGAGCTTTGCACCTTTCCAGGTTCAGTGTCTGCAGGTTCATGAGGGAACCGATGGACTCCGAAAGATAAGATGTGTTTGTATCATTAATATCAAGCAGTCTTAGATGGATCAAACTTCCAATGCTATCTGGAATGCTTTGAATCGATGAATTAGTCAGATCTAAAACACGAATGCATGAAAGTCTCCTGAAAATTGTATTCTCAACACTTGATCTCTTGATGGAAAAAATCAACAGTGTCCTTGCTCTGATCATCACTTTGTCCATATTGGGCAGTGCTACATAATCCTTGTTAGTGACGACTGAAACATGTCTTAGCTTGGACAAAGTTGTAGGCCCCAGTGATTGTGGATCTCCACAAAAACTTTCTTCTCCAGATATATGTTGAGCAAGCTGCCTTAAAAGATCATGCATCTTGCACCAACTACGGTCTGCATAGAAATGGTCTGGTTGTAGGAGGTTCCTATGTATCAACTCATAGTAATATTCTTCGGCTGTATCTTCTTGAAGTTGTTCTTCATGCTCCTCCACATAACCTTCAGCTACCCAGAACCTGATAAGATCATCACGACTCATGCGGCAATCTTCTGGATATGAGGCTACATAGAGGAAACATTGCTTCAGATACCGTGGTAGATCATCATAACTCAAATACAGGGCACCTCTGAGCTCAGTAGGAAGATTACCCCTAGACCAAGCACTTCTTTTTGCAACCTTTCTCCATTCTCTCTCACTTTTCTCTTTAGTTGCTAGAATACTAGCAGTAACCTTGATTGCGAGGGGAAGTCTGCCACATTTATGGACAATTTCTACCCCTATATTCCGAAGGCTTTCCACATCTCTTTCTTCATCAATGTTCATACTCTTCCAAAGCAGCTCCCACCCTATATCTGCTGACATCAATTCAACTCGATGCACATCTTCTACGCCAATTGCATGTGCAACTGTATCATGCCGAGTGGTCACTAGAATTACTCCTGTTGCAGCAGCATGTAATGGAGTTCTCAGTAAATTGGTCCAGACCGCAGGCTGCCAAACATCGTCCAACACAATGAAGAAACTTTTATCTGTGATGGCGACTGCAAGCTTGCTGCTGAGCTCTCCCACAGTTTCATCTTGCTCATGGGGTACCCCAAAATTCCGCAGGACTTCCTTCAAAAGAGATATTTCAGAGTACTCCTGAGAAACACATATCCATGCTTGGTTGCTAAAGGTTCCTTTTAATTCTCGGTCATTATATACTTTTTGGGCTAGAGTTGTCTTCCCAATCCCTCCTGTTCCAACAATACCAACCTTGTATGGCTTCTTTCCCTTGTGTGCAATAACCAGTTCAACCAAACTTTTGCAAGCGTGTAAAGTTTCCTTTCCCACAAGATTAGGCTCCACAAGGTGGCTAGTTCTTATATGCTTCACAGTCAGAACTTGTGGTTTAGGCTGCATATTTGCAAGCTTGAGAAATCTTTCACCCAAGTTTGAAATCTTGTCAAGTTGAGTATTGAAGTCCCGGATTTGAACACCAATCTTGTGACGCTTCTGAATAGGAGAGATGCAATTGAGAAACGGAAGGCCACTGCATGTAGTTGCCTTTCTTGATGACGATGAAGGATCCCATTCCAGTAGAAGCTTTCCGCCTTCAGATCTCGCCAAGTCGACAATATCGTCGGCATAATACATAGCACCTCTCAGCTCACCAAGCCAGTTATTAACTGCTGACTCTTGTGTTCCCCTTTGTTCGGCATCATCGAGAAAGCATTGTATCTGGGTCATTGTTCGCTGCATTTGTTTGAGGTCTTCTTGTACTCCTAGAATCAGAACTGCCTCATCCGTAATGATAGCTTCCAACTTCTTGGCACATGATTTGACAAGATAATCTAGTATGCTTGCCATCTGACCAACCCGAAGAGACAATTCCACCGAAATACAGGACGCGGCTTATCCGGCAGCCTGGCAAAGCATGCATAACATGTGTTAGGACTAGGCAAGCTTCGATAACAAACAACATCAACACATACTGGAGTCAGAGATATTTGCTAGATTTCCAACAAACAACATACTGGAGTCAGAGATATTTACTAGATTTCGACCAAACAACATACTGGAGCTATAGGACTCCAGCAATTTATGCGGCCTATAGGTTTTGAACAGCATGTTTATAGTCAATATTAACTCAAGGAAATCATGCTTAGTTCCAATTCATGCCAATGACAAGCTAAAAGCAGGGAGTAGCACAGTACCTTGCCCGGGTAAATCGACAAGCCGCCGATCAAAGTACGACTGCAGAATGTAGCAAAGCTGGGCAGGGGCACAACTTTGTTGAAGCTCTTAGACAGAGTCATGTAAAGCAAGTAGGCAAGAGATAAGCAGGAGGTGGACTTTGTTTTCCGATCAGGCGAAAGGTCAGTCAGCCGGCGATGGGTGAATGGTGGAGTCGGGCTTTTCAACTCATGGATGGAACCAGTCTTCGCTGGTGGCCGGCCCGGACAGAGACGCGTAGGCGCATTTCTGCAGATGGCAGATGGCAGATGCGATGGGTAAAATGGTAGTATACTGTCGCCTCGCGTCCGTTTCATGAATTTTGGACGGAGTATGTCCAAGTCACCTCCTTAGTGCTAGCAATATTTGTCGCTGCAGTTCTTCGGATGATACCTTTTTCTCTATTTTTATACTTTAAAAAGGTAGTGGTCCTTTTTCTGCCAGCAGAACGTTTCGTCAACCGGTTCTCCTCCCTCCCACCACGTCTCTTCACCAATTTTTTTTCGTCCAACCCGTTTTCAGTCCCACCACATCATTTTTTGCACCTTCCCTGTAGGTTAATCAATCACCTTAGTTTACTTACCTTCCGCACCAATTTTACCTTAATTTACTTACCAAACTTCTCATCAAACTATAAAGTAAACCGGCGCATAATTTGATAAATATTTATTTACACAATCATACTAATATGGATAGATAAATCACGAGCTAACATACTAAAATGTTTATATCTTGTTGCAGCGCACTAGCATTATCCTAGTTCTTTAAGGAAGGTACAAGGGCATATATTAAGGGGAGTACCTAGAACTCATCTAGATGAGATATAATTTGGTCTCATTCACTTAGAAAACAAGAACATATAACATCCACGTCAGCACACACACATCTTATAGCATCTTATAGCATCACATCCAATGGCTATAAAAGATGAATGAGACCAAATTATATCTCATCTAGATGAGTTCTAGCAAAACTGTATATTAAGTATCACAAGTCCTTACAAATACGCCTTTACAAAAAATAAAATTACATTTAAAATCTTGTGGGTGTTGAACTCTTCTTTCTCCTGCATCCACAAGCGGCGCATCGTGAGCATAGCTCAATGTCGCCTCGGCGAGCAAAGTATTGAAACTCAGGAGCTTGCAGAAGCAGCGTCCGAGAAGTAGTCGATGCAGACCAGGAGACGTCGACAACCGTAATATGCAAAACAAACCGTCGCCCTAGGGGAAAACTCCAATAAGGATATGTCAAAATCCTAAGGACCATGAAAGCCGGCCAAACCCGGGCAGATGCACCGTAAACATAAACTGGTCGGATCCCGGAAGACTCACTGGAGACGCGGCTCCACACGCTCTCCACTGGCGCAAATAAACCGTCCGGATTCCGGAAGACTCGCTGGAGACACGGCTCTACACACCCTCTGCCGGCACAAATCACATCAACAGACACTACTGGAAACTGCTTATAGGTGGGCTCTCCGTAATGGCGGGCAGGTGATGGCACACTCCATTGTTAATCTGGCCAGATACATGTGGCGGGCGACAAAGTGCACTCACGACAATTACGGTAATTTATGGACAAATACCACTTTGCTGAAGAGGTGGACCCGCTCCCGGCCCCGAAACCCTCGCCGCCACCACCTTCCCCTGCCCGTCTCCGGCGGGATCCGGCCGCCCTCGCCGGCGCGCGGCCCGGATCCGCCCCCTTCCCCCGCCCTTCCTTCCCCGCCCTCCTTCCGCCCTCGCGCCGCCTCCCCAGGAGGCGGCTGGGGTGGCCCCCGCGCTTAGGCTCTCAGCTCCGTCCCCTCTTCCTCTCCCCTGCCGTCGCCGGCGGGCGCCCTTGGCTCCGGC